TGCCACTACTGTCTGGTCTCTGTGTCTAATCTAGTGGCTATCTCTGTCCTCAGATACCCAGACAAGTTTATTAGGGTACACAATATATCACTACATTTCCCCTTTTTTATCATTTCGAGAATGTTGAAAGTTGCTTACAATGCATTTCCTGTTTACTTAGGTAATATTATATCCTTCTGGGTTATTTGATAGAATTGAAGATTACATAGTTATAATTTTCTTTAATTAATGATAAAAGATAAATTAGATATGAAACTTAGACTCACAAAAATAGGATAGATGATAGAAAAATTTATTTAATTTTGCCAAATATAAATGAACTAGATATTGTAACTGTGATTCTTGCTTGATAACTCCATGCAATATATAATTTTACATTGTAAAAGTTTACTGTGGTACAACCTTCCTTTTTCATTAGACAGGAAAGGGGAAGTGCTGTGGGATGGCCTTTATGTATGCTGTGAATATGTGTTACTATGATTGGTTAATAAAGAAGCTGCTCTGGCCTATGATGAGTCAGGTTATAGATAAGTGGGAAATCCAAGACAGAGACAGGAAGAAGAAAGGCAGAAGTGGGGGAGACACCATTATGCTGTCCAAGGAGCAGCATGAAATGGAATATAGATAAAGCCATGAAATACATGGTGACATACAGATTAATAGAAATGGGCAGTGTTAGTTAGCAAGCAGCTTGAGCAATAGGCCATAGCCACACAGTTTGTTATTAATATAAGCCTCTGAGTGATTACTTTATAAGTGGCTGCAGGACCTTAAGCCAGGCTACACAGGACAAAGGAAGACTTCCTGCTACAATAGCCCTAGACACACATGCAAATTAACTCTGACAAATAAATAAGTTATAAAAAAAATATGAGGACTAAGGAGTTGCCTCAGACAATAAAGGCTGTTTCAACCAAGGCTAAAGACTAGTTTGATCCACAAGACCCATACATAAGAAGGAAACAATGCCCATAGCTGTCCAAGGCCTCCACAAATGCACTGTGAAAAATGTGTGTGTTCAAACTGTAAAATATTGAGCACATTCATTTACATTAACAAGACAAGTCATGTGCTGCTGTTCTTTCTTTCCCCTAATGATAGCACATTTTCTGGTACCCTATAGATGTTACTTCTAGCATCTGCTCCATTAATTTACACTCAATCCTTCTTACAAACTCTTTTACCTTAAATGGCTCTTCTGAATCTTACTCAGAGGCCTCCCTAAGACTTAAGCCCACTTAAATTCCAATATTCAACTTGCTCTCTAGTGAACAAAAATAGTCATATTAATGAATCCTAGATATTTTCACTTCTTAATATTCCTAATCTGCTGTGGGATGTTCTGTATGTCAAATTGCTCTGATTGGTCAATAAATAAAACACTGATTGGCCAGTGGCTAGGCAGGAAGTATGGGCAGGACTAACAGAGAGGAGAAA